TTAACCATGCACATGCAAAACTTCGAAACGTTATTGAGCGTGCTTTTGGTGTTTTGAAAGCCCGATTCCCTATATTGAAGAGGATGGCACCATTTCCGTTGGTTACACAAAGGAACATTGCCATTGCATGTTTCGCGCTACATAATTTTATAAGGAAAGAGGGCTTGAGCGATGACTTCTTTACAAAATATGATCAACTAAACGTGTCATTAGGAAATCGTCGTCGGCACGTTGATGTTGATGAAGAAGAGGTTGAAGTACACGGTACTGCAGCGGATCGTGAATATATGATCAAGTTACGAGATGAAATTACCGAGCACTTAATGCAAAGTGCGGAATAAATTATTTGAAATATTGTTATTATTGTTATTTTAAAAAATGCTATTGTTGTTATTTCATTGTTGTAGAACTCTTGTTTAAATTTGAATGTTTAAAAATATTGATTGCTTTAAAAATCTGTTTATTTTAAATTTCAGTTTATTCAAATAATCTGCAGAAGTTAAAAAACAAACAGTCTTCCTCTTGCAGACTGCAGACCTTTGGTCCACCTCTTCTTCTGCAGATGTGTGCAGATGTGGTCTGCAGACTGCAGACCTTTTTCTGCAGAAAAAACAAACAGCACCTTAATATACTAGACCCATTTCCATTAAGGGTATTATGGTAAACTTTTACCTTTTTTAACTCTCCTTAAAAATCACTAAAAGTTAAAATAAGAACATCTTAGGAGGACAAATGAAGTAATAATCAATGGCCCAATTTTGATTTTATAAAAAATTGAAAGATCCTAACCATTGATTTCATTTCAGATCCAAAAGGACTTTGAGACTTATAACCCATATTGCATCCCATTCTCTCCATCTCACAACACCGTCGTCAATAGGAGGTCAACAGCCGACCTCAATCGGTATCCTGCTCTCAACAACGGATGCAGATCTTCTAACCGGGAAGCGCGCCTCTGACCCAATCGCCGATAATAAACCCATCGTTGGATGAAGAAGAAGATGGTGGAAAATCTAGCGACAGCAACGACCTTCTCTCTTAAGATTAAGGGTACCTTCGGTGTCTAGCATCGGTGTGTAGCATCAGAGAACTCTGTAAGTCGATATTCTTCTTTAAAATTTTGCTTTTCTTAAGTTGAGTTTCTTAATTTTTTAAAGACAATATACTTCAATTTCGAAATTTTGGTTTAAGATCTACGATGTTTTGGTTGAATATTCATACTGATTTTTGTTCCTTAAAGTTATTACTATTTGTTAAACATTTGTTTAACAATGAATTTATATGTAAAATATGAACTCTACGGTCTAATCTGTGAGCATCGTGTGCTGAATTTTCTAAAAATATCTAACCTATGCTGCCTAATTCTTCACAATTGTTTATTGTTTGTAATGTTGTTTTTATACTTAGAGTGTATATGCTTGAAACATGAATCAGCATTGGTATATTTGCTTAGGAAAAACAGTCAGGGTCTGATTTTTGAATTTTAGATGCTGAATTGATAGAAAATATGATATGAAATACTTTTTATTTAAAAAAATCTGCGACATATTAACTTGAATTCCATGATTATCTACTTTATTTTTAAAAATTTCTGTTTACACTTGCAGCGAATTCAGCCCCTTTTTCGATGACAAGCTCTTGGACTTCACGAAACTTATAAAAGCACAACTATGCCAGCTCTCTTCCTACATAAAAGTATCATCGAAAATGGCTTGTAAGTACCTGTTTTTTTCTTTCTATTGTATCAAATGTTCAAACATTAGTTTTACAATTTATCATTAGCAAAGTTGATTAAATGCTGCTAGGAAATGAATTTGATGAGGTCAGTATTTATGTGTTTGTTGTGTAATTGGCCTTTGATTATTTAATACTTGCAATTTTATCAATTTTTAAAAAAGAAAAAAACATCTCCAAATTCCAAATATCAACTTATGAAAAATCCCTTGTGTTGTGCGATGAGAAGGTTGAAGAGAAAGTATAGTTGTTTCTCCGAATTTCCGCAAAATGTTATCCTTTAGGAGTGTTTATGCATCTTCATATGCTGAGATACGAGTAATGTTGTTTGCACCGTCTTATATTTGCTCACTTTTTTCGTTTGTGTGTGTAGAGAGTTTTGGCAAAATATGATTTGTTAATTCTGTGGTCTCCATGGTGGCCGTTTTTGCGTTCAGCTAGAGACAAATTAAAAACACCTTTCGTAGGTGGGATGTTGCTGCTCATGGTAGCAATACGGTAAGGACAATTGGACTTGCGAGAAAAAAAGGTACTTTTTCCTTAATCTCTTCATCTCCTCAACATGCGAGGTCCAAAATTATTTATATATTCTGATTTGGAGGAAAAACATCTTGATGCAACAAAACTTCAGTATATTCCACCGATGCATATAGCAATGCATACTTTTGGAACACGTGATGATGTGCAACCTTTGTTCCAATTGGAAAACATTGACAGGTTTTTAATATTTCCATTCATATTTGTTCTTCTATTTTTCAGATGATGTCAAACTTATTTACTAAATTTACTTTAAATGTTGTATTTTTAGATTGGTTAGCATTGATTTTTACTCTTTCTAATAGTCTCAAACTTTAAAGATGCTGTGAAATAGCGCTGTGCAGTTTGTAACACACTCCATTTTTTAAATATAATTTTTAATTTGTGTTTACTTGCAGCCAATTTAGCACCTTTTTTATACATTTTTTAAAAAAAGTATAAGCAAAGATGCTAAAAAAAAGTTATAAGCAATGAAAAGTTTTTCACCAAGGTGTGGGGTAAGGTATTCCTTAACCTGTCAAGAAGCATTTTTTTCTTTCTTAAGGACAGTTTTCTGTTTTGTATTAAACATAATTTATGCTCTGTGAATTAACAAGATATTGAATTTCTGCAAAAGTTATAGTGCAAAAGTTAAATTTGTATACATTTACATTTTCTGATAGCTGCAGCGGCACACAGCTCGACGTGTATAGATCTATACGTATTTGCTACTCCTTACAAGATAACCTGGGATTACTATTTTGAAACTTGATAGCACATACTTATGATTCAGTCATGGGAGGACTCGGCAGATATGGAATATGTAGGTCCATTTATGTCCTCCATTTTTTGCACTGATGGCAAAGAGTTCACAAGTTTAATACTTGTGAAATTTCCCACAGGTTAGAATGCTAACTTAACTTTTCTGAAGAAACACATGGGATCAAATTTTGAGAAACGTCCTCGCCCTTGGCATGCTACGACTAACCCAAATGATGTCCATTCTGGTGCTACTATCGGTCTCTTTTCCTTTCTACGTTTCTATGTTTGATAAAGCTCTTGTGTTGAGGGGTTTCGAGTCTCTATACCTCGAGCCCTCTACCTTGGTCTAATGCAACTCATGAGATACATCAACCTTTGATAACTCTGTCTTTACTTGAGAGTCATTCTCAACTTAATTGGTTTTTGGGCAGGCGAGCGAGTGTTGGTATGCAACGACATCATGACTATTTTGGCTTAGAGCAAGGACGTCAGGTTTTCTCAGAATTTTAATATCAAAAAGAGTTTTTTTTTTTACAAATTTTTAGTAGATTTAACCATTTTATCATTATTACGTACTATAAATGTACGGTCTACGTATTGACATAGAATAACATATCTCGCAATTCAAGTGTCTTTTGTATAGACATATTCTTAACTTCATTCTTTTTGATCCCAAATTAAAGGTCATCTGCATCACGTCGCCAAACTTTCCATGCCACTAGCGATTGTTTCAAACCATACAATAATTTGACTAACTCATTGACCTTTATTTGTTTTCATAGAACTCTGGAATCCTAAAATTATTTTATGTAGTTCTCTTCATCTAGATTTATGTTAAGAAAAGTAATTTATATATCTACTTGAAGAACTTTTAAATTTCATAGCATTACAGTCGTGAGTATATGATTAACTTAATGACATTATTGAAAAATGTGTTTTAAAGTAAACAAAACATTCTTTCCTCTTTGTATCTCTTGATTACAAGCCAAGCTTTGTACTTGTTCATGAAACCATCATGTTTCATCTTCTTCCAAAATGCCAATTTTGAACCTAACAATTTGCAATGTAGAGGCAGGTTCACTTACTCTCGAATGTGATTTTGTAAAATAGAATTTCTGATACGATATCGTATCGGGATAGGGAAGGATTTTGAGCACCTTGGAGCTCCAAGAACAAAAGAGGCGAGAAAGAGAGAGATTAAGGTTTAGGAGAAGGATTTCTTTATTAAATGAATAATAATTTTATTAGTAATGGTTACATATATAGATGGTAGATCAAGAAAATCCTAACCATACAAGGTAATTAAATAAACCATAATACTAATAATCTAATATAATTATACCTCCTAATAATAATATGATTATCTAACCATAAATAATAAAACTACCTATAATAACAATAATAGTAATATAATAATAATGGTAAATAACTAAATATAAACCCGTATCAATTTCCTTCACTTCGAGTCGCCTCTTTCTATTGCGGTTCTTCAGATCAAGCCACTGCTTCATTGTAGGTTCGAGGTTCATATTTTTTAATAAAAAATGCTAGAGCATCAGGTTCGTACTCTAAGAGTTATGTCAAAATTTTTGGTTCAAGTTCTAGCATATATGTTACTCCCTCCGTCCCAAAAAGATTTACATGTTTCAAAAAAATTGTGTTCCACAATCCCCTTCCCATTTCTATTAAAAAACCCTACTTACTTTTTCAAATCCTACTTATCACATCATACCTTTTTCCTAATAATCTATACATCACATCATATTTTTACTCATCACGTCAAGGATATTTTTGGAAAATCAACACAAAATTATCTCTTTCTTAATTTCTACATTGGTCAAAGCGTACTCATCTTTATGGGACGGGGAGTAGAAAATAGGATCTGGCTTGTTAATTTTTTGTGAAACACCCCACACTTGCTTCCAAATTTCTCCATTCTTCATAGAATTCATCTTCACCACTCTCCGATCCCTATTTGTTCCTCTTCAATGTCCACTAGAAATTTGAGTGAAATAGGACCACTTGAACATCATACTTCTGCAGCAATAATATTAATTTTACACCACCACATAGATGTATGACATGGAGTCATACATCGGATAACGCTCGTCCCACACCCACTTCCCTTTGAACCAATTGCACTTCTCCGCGCCACTGACGGAGGCCGTCCCACCACCTCACAACCCTTCGCCGCCGTCTCCTGGTGATCACCGCCGTTTCCGGCCTTTTCACTTCCCCCCTCCTCATTGATCCAGTAATAGTAATAATAATACGGCGCAGTTAGGGATCCGAAGTACGCAAGTGATTAGATCATACAATGGACGATGACGAACTGCGGCGGATCCAGGATTTTAGCTAGATGGGGCACATTAGTCGGGGTCCGGGGACTGTGCCCCTAGATTTTTTAATAGACAGTATGAATTGACAAAAAAATACCTGAGTAATAAATTTTGTTTCAAACGTTCCTGTTTTGATTTGGGAAGGATTTATTTTCGTAGTTTGACCTTGTAATTTGATCTTTATCATTGAAGAAAAAAGAGAGACAAATCATTTAAATGACTTATTATATCAATCCAAATTGAATTGAGTATATTGCAACGACTTAATTTAGATATATTAGTCATTTTTTACAAAAAATAGAAGTGTTTTAGAGAAAAAAATGAAAGAGAAACTATTTTAAATAACAGAGGAAGTATGTAATAAAATAAAATTTACTACCAAAAGAATTAAATAAAAACTTTAAAACTAACTTAATTAGATAAGGTCTTATTAATTTTTGTTGGGGGCACATATACATAAATTTAAAAAAATAATAATTTTAACTTAAAAATTAAATTTAGTAGGGGGCATTAGCCATTAGCCCCCAACTACTCAACTAGTACTACTCCGTATTAAGTAGATCTGCCACTGACGACAAAGACGATGTTCTTGATGCAAACTCCTCCCTTGCTACTACTACTACTACTTATCTTTTCTCTTGTTCTTCTTCCCTAAATCCTTTCTAATTAATCACTTGTGAGCTTTTCAAGTATATATATATATACTTCATGGAGAAAAGCGGAAGAAGACTAAAACTGAAGATGGACCGGGTGACCCAGATTCAAGCCGCAAGAACTCGAGGTCCAGGGAACAACCAGTTCTGACCAGACCTCCATGCCGCTGGATCGGCTCTCGCCATCCATGTTCCCAACCATTGCCAGAGATCGATTCTAACGATGTCACCACCGGCACGTTTTTGATTTGGGGTATTTCAAAAACCCTAATTTATTTGTTTCTCTTTTATGAATTCTTATCCAGCTTTAAAGGGGTTTTTTAAAAAGCTGATTAATTGGACATTTGGTTTTTAATTTGCATGATATTTGATTTAATAGATGATAATGTTCTACACTGATAAATTATTGTTAGAGTTTGTCAATTTGGGATTCATGGTAAACGGAATATTGTGTTGCCTAAAAAATTTAAGCAAAAATCAGATAGAGATTTGTCTCCACCGTCCATCGTCATCAGTATGTCTGTGATTGTGGTATGTACGAATCCCTAATCTCTTATCTTTATTCATAGCAGCTGGCGATGATATATTAGGTAGTTTGGATTCGGAACTGTACATCAGTTGCGTTCTGTCCGAGGACGGAAAGAGAAAACAAGGTTTGTGTCTGAGGAGAAATTCACAGTTTTAGTTGCTGAAAATGCTCAATTCAATAAGGCTCTCATGGCTCTCTTGTTGTGTTAGTTTTTTTTGTTCTTAAGTATGGTATGAAAAGCAAATCGAATCCTTAAGAAGAGGGTTTGATTTATCCCTTGTGCTTATGCCTTCTTAAAAATAAATGGTCTGTTTTTAGAAAAGCAACTTCTATTCTTTGGAAAGTTCAATATTCAATTCAGGTGGTGGGCAAATTATGTGGGCAAATTATAGTTCCTAACAAACAATAGATAGTTTTCTAGAATTTTTTACTATAATATGCATCCCTTGTTTCAAGTTATACATGTTTTCAGGGGCTTTTATTCCAACCTACTCATTAAAATTAATAGAAATGCTTATTGAAACAAATTCTTAGGATTTTCAATCTGCTTACTGAAAATCCTAACTAATAATAGGTTGTTTCATATATACTTTTTGTATAACAACTTCTACTTTTCTTGTCTTTGTGGACTGTAAGTATTGTCTTTAAAAGTTCTTGTATGTTTCTTGCTTAGATCTTTCTTATTTAATGAGCTTTATGAATGCATTTTAGTGTGAAAAGATTGCAAAACATTTTTCCTAGGTGACAGGAGGGGGGGAGGCGGTTTGGGCAAGGGGAGATACTAGAAAAATTAGATATTATACTTAGATGGTTAGCTTGCACTTTTAAATATATACTTAATCAATGTTTCAAGATATATAAAGAGATTGATGAATTTATTTATCCTATGTACTTCAATGGTTAGGTTGAACACATATCTGTAGCCTAATCTGCTCTGTGATGCAGATTTTGACTCTATTTTTGGATTACGCATCAAGTGATTTTTTAGCATAACAATTAATTATATTCAAATTTAAACATATGAAGTTCAGTTTTAACTCATACCAGACCTTATGAAGTTCACTTTGGTAAATAATTTCTGCTATCACTATGACTTTCGTTGTTCCATGTTGTGTTTGTGTATGTACACACACACACACACACATCCTTCCTATATATATATATGTAAAATAGAGTTAATCAATTGTAGTGTTGCCAAGTGTCATATGACATGTCATTTTTTTCCCGCTGGCAGCTTCTTTTTCCCCGCTGGCATCCACATCAGTTCCCCATTCCACCCGCTGAAGATGTTTTCCTATTATCTCGCCGACCCCTAATCCCAGCCGCTGAGCATCTTTTCCAATTACTCGCCGGTTACGCATGATTGTCATGAATGAACGAGGAATAACTCACCGGTTACGCAGCCAATTAACTCGCGGGGAGCTGCGTGTTGTGCCTTTCCCGCTGAACTCAATCCCATGGGAATTACACTACGTAAACAGGGCGTTTAAGGTGAGTGAAATTAATTTGATTTCTAGGTAGTTGTATATTTACTTCCAATGAATTGCAATCATGGACGTTTGTGGCTTTTGGGTGACTAGGGTTCTGCCAGTGACCTCCCCATGTATATAGAAATACATGAATTGGGTGTTGCCTTCCAATATCATCCACTTTGCTTTCAAGAACATTGATTGTCACACGTGTCTTAATTTTCCCCCCATTATGTCTTCAGGCATGTCTACTTTACTGGGGAAGAAGATGGATGATCACATATCTATCCAGAGACTTACACGTGAGTCTAACAATTGTGCGATTAAGGCGTGAGTTTCTCGATTGTGGGATGCATACATTTTGAAGAACAAGAAAGATATAATCAGTACTGATATGGTCTTGATTGATGTGGAGGTACTGCTTTAGGTTTTCCTTTTAGGACTGGTTATTTTTTTTCTAACATGTGTTCGTCTTACTATAAAGGGCTTTTATATTCATGCATCAAAGGGAGTTGGGCACATGCATTTCGTAATTCGATTGTTGAAGGTAGTGTTTATTATATCAAGAACTTTGTTGTTGTTGATAACAAGAACCGGTATCGTGTTGTGGGAGACAACAAAGTTATGATCCAACTGTATGCAAACTCTACTGTCAAACGCCTTCTTGATGATACATCCAACATCCCAATGCATCGCTTTGACCTACTACCCTTTGATATGGTTGAGACCAGAATGAACCAAGAATATATCCTTACATGTTTTTTAGTCGTTGCTCGAGTTTATTTTTCATTTTAGTCTGCCTTTGAACATACAAACAGCTTTTACATATGTGTAGATGTAGTTGGTCACATTTGTAGTGAGGGCANGATAGAGGAGAAGCACATTCATAACCGTATGGTGCCTTGCCTTATGCTAGAACTACAGGATAGGAGGTAAGTCATGCTTGGATATATGATATCAACAAGAACAATGGTTGGTATTACAATTCATGCCGTAATTGCAAACGGTTGATCAAAGCATGCGGAGACAAGTTTTGGTGCAATAAATGCCAAACAGTAGTGGATGATGCTGTTCCGAGGTATGCTCCACGCTCGGTTTATACTTAAAAGAGGTTGGAAAACTGGAAGAAATAAAATGAATATAATATAGAGTAATACTCTAGGGAATTTAAATTCACTACTTTATGGGATATTCCATGAATTCAAAACACATAAAATACTTACTTCTTTGCTATTCATAGGTATCGTCTAGATGTTGGGGTGAAGGATGATAATGAGTTTACAAGGTTTATAATCTTTGATGAGGAAGTTGAAAAGATTATTGGGCAATCAGCCATAAGCGTGTATGATATTGAAGACAAAATTGAGGTAATTACTAATATCAATAAATGCGAAAATTTTATCCCCCCTGTTACAGCTATTTTTTTTTTAAAATAAAATTACTACTTTTAGGGAAATGAATCGGAGGGAGAGTTGCCAGCGTTGCTTGCCAACATTATTGGTCGTCGTTTTGTTTTCCGTGTCAAACTTACCAAATACAACAAGACTGCTTATAATAGGTTTTAGGTATTCATTCTTTCATGTTGGCCAAACCTAAAGAATTCCAATTGTAATTTTCATGAAGATTAGGCGCTCTTCTTCAGTCATGTGTTCTGTCACACCTTATGACAGCCGGGTTGGTTTCCTCTTTACCTTGGTTTTTAATGAACTTACACATACTATGTCAATTTCATTTCTACTTTCATTTTCTTTACTTTCATTAAGTTTAATTCAAATCTTCAGATATGTTGACTGTGGCTTTCTTTACGTTTACCCGCGTACATTATGGTGTTCAATGTCAGTTACTTTGAATGACTATACTGAAGTGTTTCATGTCTGATAGGAAGTTCATACGATTTTGGCATACCTTTGGTTTTTCCCATTGGTCTCAGGAGTACTGTGGTTTGGGTAATTTGGTTCCAACAAACTGCCACTTTCATTGACAACCTTAATCTTTACATTCCTTGCCATACTCATTATTAATGAAACATACTTCACTTCTGAAATCAGTGACCTGGCTATTTCGACTTTTAAAGAGGTGACCAACATAGACATATCCTACGTAAATTTGTACCTGCTACCTTACATTAAGGCACCTGTTGATTTAACTTTTCTTCCTTTTCAATTATGGTTTAAGAAAGGCCTAATGTAATACTGAATAAAATGATTTACCTTAATTAGAAAAGTGCATTCCATATTCTATCCTTCCTTTCCATGTATTATACTTGCTCCCATGTACTGACTTATTCACTATACCTTATTCCATTAATAATTATAGTATACCACATGACATATTGCCATTTTTATAACTGTTAATTTATTTAGATGTTCTTCCTATTAATAGTAACCATAGCTTTTAACTTTGTTTTAAGATGCCCCATGTTTATAGGTTTTGGAACTCAGAATTGGTTTCTACAAGAACTCATGCTCAGATTTTGGATTTTGCTTCTATATACCCTTCATTAATGAAAGTGCATAATTTATGTTACTGCACTCTGGTTTATTAATAAAAAGAAAAAAATGCAGTGGTAGGTGTTTGTATATGGGTCCCCATGTAATAGTTATTTCCTTCACAGTGAGCTTTGTTCAAGGTTTAGAACACTTTGGTGGCTAAATGATCTGAGCTATAATTTGGCAGGGAATACATAACAATGGACGTGTTTGCAGCCATGAAAGTGTTAGTGGCATACACACGACAAGTGATAGATTATCATCTCACTAGAGGACACATTACGATTGAATTGTGAATTCTTTGTTTTTCCCCCTGGATTTGGTTAGTATCTTATTATAAGCTATCAGATTCTTTTTTCCCATTGTCTAATAAGACTAAAGAATCAACACTTTTGTGTTGGTTTGAAAACAAATACTATTTTTAGATGTATCAGTCTCACTTCTCTTTTAACATTGAAGATGAATCCAATTTTCAATCACAACTACCAAGGAATTGTGTCAATTAATACCCTTTATTACAGACAGGAATGAAAACTACTACTCACCAGTAACTGTTACAGGTCACATTTCAGCAACAGAACAATTTTAAAATAACCTCACTTAGCTGGATATATTTGTGTTCCTTTTAATTAGTTTATATTTAAAAACTTTGGCTTATTGGAAAAACATATGCACCATACAATCTGTTTTAGGTATGTAGTTAAGACTGGTTGATTAAAAAGTACAGCGACAAAGTATAACTTCGGAAAAGTATAAACTGCACAGGAGAGTAAGAAATTAGCATGGGACACAACCTTTTAAAGCACCATAGAGGGAAAAAATGGGCAACTGAAATTATTAAGTTATATAAAAGTAGATTTGTAATTTTGTATACACTGACCACTGTGTAAGGGTTGGAGGACAATTTGTAATCGGTTTTGTAAGCAATTGTGATTACATGCTCAGATGGTCTTGAAAAGCCTATTTCAACACAGCTTACCCCTTCCAAATACCAATGTGAAAGTTTACCATGACTTTATTCATCTAGAGCATGGACTCCTGCTCTAAATTGTCTTTTGGATGACGCACTGCCTGATCTTATAGTGGTATTACACTTAGAAAATGTATGGCTATGAGCAACTTGAGTTCACAATGGTCCAAAATTTATAGAAACTGCAGACCTGCCTTTTCCAGTTTCCATCCCATTTATAGCCTGTGCCTGCACTTCCTGTTGCTCGCTCTCTTGCCCTCAAACTTGGGTCGACTACGAATACCAGATCTATTCTACACATTTGCCTTTCGCTAATATATACGTCTAGGTAACATGTTTTGGGTATTCATTCTTTTATGTTGACCAATTCTAAGGAATTCGATATATTTTTTTCATCAAGATTATGCACTATTCTTGGGTAATAGGTTTAGTCACACCTTACGACAGCCGGGTTGCTTTCCTATTTACCTTGGGTTTTTGATGAACTTACACATACTGTATCACTTTAATTACTATTTGAATATCATCATTATGTTTACTTTCATTAACTTTTATTTTAATGTTTGAATATGTTGACAGTGGCTTTCTTTACGTTTACCAAGGAGTACATTATTTATGGATTGCATTTGAACACTATGCAGGATCAAGTAAATGATACTCTGCGGTATATTCTAATATGCAGTAGCATCTCAAAACTATGCTGAAGTATTTCATGTCTGATGAGAAGTTTATACGATTTTGGCATACCTTTCGTTTTTCCCTTGGCTGAGGAGTAGTATGGTTTGTGTAATTTGGTTCCTACACAATGTCACTTTCATTCACAACCTTATTCTTTACTTTCTGTGCCTATTGATTATTAAGGAAACATACTTCATCTTAATTCTTTAATGATCATGGTTTATGACATAGGAAAATGTTTAAGGCCATTCTGTCTATGTTGCATCAGTATTTAAGATTCTGCTTACATAATATATGCAAAAAAATGTCTTCTACCTTCACCTGATCGTATTTCACATGCTATCTTGCCTTACGTTTGTTTGCTCATCCCTACAGACATTCGACGCCCTTTAACCAGCTGCTTTCTATGTTGGCTCACAATTTAAGATTATGCTTACTTAACAAATGAAACTGTAGCCTATCTAACTTCACTAATCATATTGCAGATTCTACCTTCCCACTGATAGTTGTTGAACACTTAAAGATGGACTAACTATTTTGGGGGCCTGTAAGTTTTTACCACTTCACTTATGTCTACTTGACAAGCATATATCCTGAATTATGGAGTCCGAACAATCAAAATTTAAATATCTTCACTTTTAATGACATAACTGTATATTCTCTTCACATCTTAACCATCAACATATAACCATCCTCAACCCAAACTAGTTTTTCCACTTCAAACTTAAAACCTCATCATAACCATGAAAACATTATGTAATGAAATCCTACGAACCGCCAATTTTGACCACTGCTCTTTCTTATGTTTGTTCTAAAGTAAATGTTGTAAGTTTTATTATTTTAAAATCATATGAAGTCCTACCCATACTCCAAACTTATATGCCTTCCTACACACACCTCCTGAAACATATATACTACTACTTTTAACACTGTTTATGACGTAATGCATGCCCCATGAATGAATAAAACCTTACAGTTATGCCTCATAACCATCAGTCCATCACTGTACTTTTCATGTATCCAATAATGTTTACACCCCATGAGTATGTCATTATAATCTTCTGAAAACGGCCGCCTCCTTTGAAACTGTTAATCGATATGTTTGTAAGTCATATTGACTGGAAGAAGAGCTCAATTAGATCATCACAGGTAGCTAATTCTTCAGGAGGTATTGCATTTGCCTGCTTAATGTTTTATTTTTTCCTTCAAATATTTTATTTCATTTCAAATTTTCCTTTGTTTTCTTTCCCGAGCAATTTTTGAATTCACAATGGCAATGTATGAGAGCATGTGCAATGGCAAGTAAGAGGCATGCCATGCAATGCCACATCAGCTTCTTCCACACATATCATGGCATGGCATGGCCAAAATGCCTTGCTTTGTGAGGCATGAGTGTGGCATTCCATCCTTATTTTTTTATTTTTTTTAAATAAATTTTTTTAAAATTTTTTATGAAAAAAAATGTACAAGAAAGTAGAATAATTTTTTAATAAAATACATAATAAAAATATTTTTTTTATGTTTAAAAAACATAAAAAATGTAAAAAAGTGATAAAAAATAATGACTTGCCACTCCATTCACTTGCCACACGCTGACTGGACTATTTTTGATTGGTTAAAATGTTCCATGTCACCGTGTGGCATTCCATTTTTGCCTTGCCATTGTTCATGCTCTGAGAATAATCAACTCCCAGCCTGATGCATGGTCTATACTGATAATTTTTTTTAAAAAAAAAATGGTACTCCGTATTATAGAAAGAGGCAAACAAATAACCATGTCTAAACTGCAGATTAGATCTTTCAATAACTCACCCCAAGTTTGAGTCTTTTCTCGTTTTTTAAAATGAAAACAAAATAGAGTTGTCAACAAACTACCACACATGTTGATTTGGTGATTGTTTATCATGTTGTCCAATGTGTTTTTTTATCTTGGAAAGGAAAGCAATTAGCTGGATCACTCTTGTACTTACAAAGGTAAAATAAACAAAAGTAGTGTACACTTAGTATTAAAAAACAGCGTGTACAAGCAAATTGGCTCCATTTTGTTGTTTTATGTCTTTTATTTACTTTTAATTGTAATCAATATACATCTTGTGTCAAATTATTACCATTAGTCTTATGGACTTATAATTCATTTAAATGATCCATTTGAGAAATTCTTGACCTTTATTCTACATATTATTGCATTGCTTATGAGCCACTTCAATGCTATAAGAAACATTTCATGTATCATATCCTAAATTATATTCACTTGTGTTTTCAACTTCCTTTCTTGTGAGGTGTTGAACAAATAGGATTATATATTACAATAAATTGTAAGCAAAAACCATAAAAAATCTTGGCTAAAATCCTTATCGGGCACTTTAACTCGCGCAACGCGCGTGAATTTGCTTGTGTGTGTGTGTGTGTATATATATATATATAATGTCACATTAAATATGAATGATATTATGCATTACATATTTTCCATTATATTCATTTCTTTCTTTCTTAGCTACCCGTTTTGTATTTGAATGTCAAATTTAGACCAACAATGTAATTAATTGTACTCCAAAATAAGATTCTTAATTAATTGAGTTTAGAATGTATGAGAGTGACTGTACACATTACATATACAGAGTATATTTGTGAATAAGTGAATGTTAATTATAAATGAAAATATTTAAAGATGTCACTTCAAATATATCCAATGATGCTAAGTTTAAATTATAATTTCATACTCATCTGTCCTAGTGTATTTATCTAATTAAACTTTTTTGAATTGAATTGGACACATTGAGGTCCAATGTTCGTTCAGTTTAACTCAAAAAAATCAAACTGAACGAATGCATTTGGACGGAGATGGTATATAATATATCTCTATATGTATATTATAGTCACATCAAATATTTAAAACTTTGATTAAAATTAAAAGAGTCAAATGTAAAGTTAATGGTGTAACACTCCACATGGAAGTACTTTTTATAATATACTCCCTCCGTCCCAAAAAATTTTACACGGTTTCAAAAAAATTGTGTTCCACAATTCTTTTCTCATTTCTATTTAAAAATTACTTTTTTGATTTTACCCCTTACTTTTTCAAACCCTACTTATGTATATCACATCAAGAGTATTTTTGGAAAGTCAACACAATTTATCCCTCCTTTAATTTCTACTTTAGTCAAAACGTATCCATCTTTATAGGACGGAGGGAGTATTTTAATAGAATCAACTCATTTATCTTCACTTGTCACTATTCGGAATCAAATTTTATCACATACGGAGTACTTTTTTGTTGTTCATTTATTAATATGATAATATAGTTACTTCACATCTTATTCTGTGGAATTCTTTTTTAAGTGTTAAAATATATGCTTGGTTTATTTTCAATATTTTATCAATATTTTAATAAATAAATTAAAAAAAAGTGTTGATAAAATATCATAAGCACTAAAATGAAGATAATTATAATTGGAGGAAGGAGTACATATGTATCTAATAAAAATGGCAACTTTAGAATAAATTAGACACACACGTGCAATGGGTTAGGAACAATGCAAATGCATGGAACCGTACAATCCAATGAGATGATCTTAAGCTACAATGCATGTGGATGTGTTAATAATGTAAAGGGGAAGATGATCTGATCTTAAGCTACAATGCATGTGGATGTGTTAATGTAAAGGGGAATATATAATGTGTCATTAGTGATTTTTCAAATATAGAAAAGACTATATAGCTCTATTCTTTTGAGCGTTAACTTAAAGAAATAGTTGCACTAAATAACACTAAAATTAAAGTCATTTTTTCTAAATAACACTTAAACGATTTTATTCCTTAAATAACACTTAATAAAGTCCCAAATAAGAAATAATGTCTAGTGATGGCGAATATTTACTTAAATAATGACTAAATGTCTTTTTTAATAATTTATTAATATGATAATATAGTTACTTAATTAATTCACATCTTATTCTGTAGAATTCTTTTTTAAGTGTTAAAATATATACTTGGTTTTATTTTCAATTTTTTATCAATATTTTAATAAATAAATTAAAAAAAGTGTTGATAAAATATCATAAGCACTAAAATGAAGATAATTATAATTGGAGGAAGGAGTACATATGTATCTAATAAAATGGCAACTTTAGAATTAATTAGACACACACGTGCAATGGGTTAGGAACAATGCAAATGCATGGAACCGTACATTCCATTGAGATGATCTTAAGCTACAATGCATGTGGATGTGTTAATGTAAAGGGGAAAATGATCTTAAGCTACAATGCATGTGGATGTGTTAATGTAAAGGGGAATATATAATGTGTCATTAGTGATTTTCCAAATATAGAAAAGACTATATGGCTCTATTCTTTTGAGCATTAACTTAGAGAAATATTTGCACTAAATAACACTAAAACTAAAGTAATTTTTCTAAATAAAACTTAAACGATTTTATTCCTTAAATATTAAATATTCCCTCCGTACAAAAAGTTTGTTACATTTAGAAAAAACTGCGTCCCGTAAAGTCCGTTACATTTCTATTAAAAAACCACTTTTACCTCTTACTTTTTCATACCCTACCTATCACATCATGCCTTTTTCCTAATAATCTACCCATCACATCCTACTTTTACCAATCACATCAAGGGTATTTTTGGAAAGTCAATACCAAAATATTCCTCCCTTAATTTCCCAAAAAGTCAAACCGTCCCATTCTTTTTGGGACGGAGGGAGTATATAACACTTGAGAATGTCTCGAAGAAGAAATAATGTCCAGTGATGGCGAATATTTACTTAAGTAATGACTAATAGATAATGACTAAATATGTTACATTGAAAAAAACACATACGATGCTCTTTAAGGAAATGCATTATGTTTTAGTGTGGTTTAAGTAAATATCGCTAACTTATACGGAGTAACTTCCAATAATTTGAACCAACTATTTAATTAGTTGTAGTTGCTAATGAGTATATTGGGTTAGAGGACTTACTAATTCTCGGTATTATTTAAAACCCAAAATGCAAGTTCTTATATTGAGTATAGTAGATCAAGCCAGTTCTAGGGCAACCCACGAGCCAGATAAGCGGGTCAATCCGCTATCTCCAGACTCTAGAGGCGTATACTCGAAACTTGAGGTGCGGCTGCTAGGGTTGATGGCTTGGGAAAGGGTTGAAATTCGTAATTTTATTACAAATTGAGAGTTACGAGGTAAAACCTTTCATCTTTTAAAATTATTTATTAAAAAATTAGTACATCAATAAGAATTAAAGTTACATACTAAAAAACTACATCAAGAGTCATACAAAACGAAAGGTAACAATAATATTTTATTTTATTTAATAATCAAATAAAATACAAAAAAATTATCGAAAAATCAGTTAGCAATCTCCTCCAAATCCCCACGAGGAAAAAAAATTTATCGTGAAGAACAAAAAAACACAAAAAAAAAAGCCTTAAGTGTGGAATCCAAAAAAAAAGAGGAAAAACGCTCATCCAAATTTCAATAGGAATGCGTTTCACGTATTTATAGTAACACTAAGTACATATGCCTATAGGTATATATAAAATTACGAAATTTCCGTGGTGTCGCGTGATCCAACATGTGTCCGCTCCTGACCGTGGGTTCCCCATACCCAGTACGAATAGATCATGCAATGTTTGCATTATAACTCCAATAAAAGCCACCTTCCCATCTTCAGCATCTCCAACCACGTTCTTGCCTCTCAGTCACATCGTGTGTACAACCTTATTTGGAAATTTGAAAATCAGAATATAACAATAAAGAAATGATAGGGCGTTGCTATGTCTTCTCTCAATTTGATTAAATCCATTTCATTTATATTAATTTGACAAGTTTACTGTTAAAAATATAAAAATTGGAAATTAGACTCAAGCCAATCTTTGAAGACAAAATTGTCTACTTAACCTAAAAAGATTAAATTTGGTCAAAGTGGAAGTGAATATAACAATACTCAAAACTGAATAGTTAAACCACTTAAACATAAATCGGGACGCTATATAAGTAACCGAAATTCTGATAACCGATGTATTTGTTTATATTTATATGAAAAATATCGACATCTATCCAATCCTTTTAAAATGATATTATCAGTTTTCACTTAAGTACTCCCTCCGTCCCAAAAAGAACGTTACGTTTCATTTTTTTGCACATCTCTTAAAACACTTTTATATCGTCTCAAATGCCAAAAAAACTTTTAAAACAATTTCATCTTATAATAAAGAGTAAATATGGTAAATTTTAGAATTTTTAGATGTGAGTAGCAGTGCTTTTTGTGATGCGCAAAAAAATGAAATGTAACATTCTTTTTTAGACGGAGGGAGTATATCCCAATGCAAGGGTGTGTGGGGTGAATGTAGGTGAGCATGGTACGGTATGATACGGTATTTAGTCTGTACTGATATCGTACTAAATATTTTAGTTCGGTATGGGATTATACATTGTACCCATTCCGAACCTAAAATTTTTGTTCGGTATAGTTCAGGATGGTTCGATATCAATTTCGGGATAAATCGGGATGAAAACATACACTGCTAATTTAAATTTAAATTATCACAATAATATTTATTTTTTTATAAATCAAAAGTATATTTCAACAAAAAAAATAAAAAATGAAAAATATAAGATTAAATGCAAGAAATGCTTTTTAAACTTAGTTTATATCTCATAAATTACAGTGAACTAGTGATAACAAATTGATTTTCAAAGTTGTGCTACTGTTTTTAAATTCTTCGACAAAAGATTAAAACTCAAATAAAAGTATAATGTAGACATATAAAATTTGAGCCAAATTTTAAAAAATAACTTATAATTTATTGAAAAAATATAAAAAGATGATTGTATTTATCATATATTAGTATATACTTCTTCTGTTCCTTAAAATTCTTCTTCTTTTATTTTTTTCCAATTCTCTAAAACACTTCCTTTTTCTATTAAAAAATCACTTTTACCCTTATTTTTTCATGTCATACTTATCACATCATAGTTTTTTCACTAATAACTAAACTATCACATCTTACTTTTATCCATCACATCAGGGGAAAAATTGGAAAGTCAACCAAAACTATACTTTTCTTAATTTGGCTAATAGTCAAAACATGAACTTTTTAAGTGAACCGAGGGAGTATATTTATCTTTTTATTAAAAAACTGTTTTTACTAATGTGATTTTTTCAAAGTGAACAAGTAAAATAAACATGGTAGAGGAAAAAAAATTGAAGTGAACAATGGCTACTGTATCTGTTTTAGATTGATTGCAGGACAATAGGCCATTAAATTCGCATATAATGCATGTGTAAGAATTAAATGTATAAAGAATTTTCTGAATTTTTCCCTTAAATACTTTATGGGAGCTGATAAATCCCTTGCAAAAGCTCCGTCCACTCCAGCAAGGCAGCAACTCACAAATGCTTTTAAACCTTGCGTTTCCTTAGTGTGTATACAGAGTAGTATATTTAAGTGACCCCCCCCCCCTAGGCCCTAACCCCGGTAACTTCCCACCCGCCCCGACCAGAACACACTCCCCTTCTCATCAATTGCTCCTGCAAGTTAATTAATTTTAACTTTGAAGTCAAATTTTAATTCCAAAGTCAAAATCAACATGTGAGGTGCAATTGAAGGAAGTGGGGGATGTTTCGGGTTGGGGCGGGGTAGGGGGTGTACCCAAGGGTAGGATTTATCAATTTTACGAATAGGGCATCAGAGCGTCCATGTCATCCCATGAATTTTAGACTATATTAAATAACTTAAAAGATAAATAAGAATACATTTAAAATTTTAAAAGCAATATTGGTCTGGTTGGAAAGATCTCAATAAGATATGTTGAGTGACACAATTGTTATCCAATAATTTTTTGTATATAAAAAGTTACAAGTAAAACTAACAAGACAGAGGAAAAAAAGGAATTAATGGCTACTTTAACCTTATAGATTGTTTGGATACCGGTAATGGGCTACTAAATTCACACGTGTGAGAGTTAAATGTATAATAAATTCTCACTGAGAAAATTTCTCCCTTAAATACAGCATGGGAGCTAAGACAAATCATATGGTCCGTGCAAAAACATACTCGGGGTACCTATACCCCGTCCCCCATACATCTTCCTATTAAATAACCCTTTTTATTTTTCCCACATAGATCTTCTCATTACCTTTTTTAATATATAAAACACCACAACTACCACTATTTAGTTTATTAATTACACCTTTAAATCTTTAATACACCCAACCCATTTTCATTAAGGGTATTTTGATAAACTTTCACCTTTTTTCAACTTTCCTAAAAAACTACAAAAAGTCAAAACGAGAAGATCTTAAGGAGACGGTCAAGGTAACTTAAATACGTTGTGGAAGTCGAGAAAAATCAATGCATTGGACGTGCCTGCCATATGGCGTGTTCCGTGAACTCACATGGTCCTTACCAGCCTCCTTTGATAATCTCCTTTAATATTTTTTTTTTTAATAATCTACTTTGTTGGATAGTATAAATAACCATAGTTCTCATACTTATACCCTCACTAGCTTAAACATGGCTTCTTCATACTTATTTTGTTTGAGTTTTTTGCTTTTATCATATCTTCAATGGCCTTCATGCACAAAGGCATCTCTGCATGTTCATTCTGCCACCTTGCGCACATGTTTGGCTAGAAAACTCAAACATGCCAGTGAATTTTCAAAAGAATATTTCACGCAAGGGAACTCTTCTTATGTACCAATTCTAGAAGAATTGGCACACAACGGGAGGTTCCTGAACACTGGGTTTCCGAAGCCGTGGGCCATAATCACGCCTAAAGACGAGTACGAGGTGCAAGCCAGAGTTTGGGGGGTGAAATATTTCAAGAACAATTTTGATCGGTTGGTCCGGGTGAAGACCATGGTTGACCCCCAGGATTTCTTTCGCAATGAACAGAGCATACCGCCCCTGCCGGCCGCCACCACTATCCAATCCAATAATTTTGATTAGAAGGAAGCAAGGAAGCAAGCAAGATGCATGTTATGACGAGATATGAATCCTAGCTATTTGCTTTATATTTCAAAAAATATATATTATATTGGAGTATATTACAGATGTGTCTCTTACCTACAATTGAATAAGATGCACTTGGTTAGGTTGCCTTGATCAATCTTTCTCTTTCAATTTGTGGAGTATAATAATATCAAAAATGTCATAGTACTTTGATAAAGAATGGAGAGCTAGCTAGGGAGTACTTTCAAGACTTTCACAGGCTACACAAACAGCATTATTAGTGGAACACTGGTTAACACTTAACCGTAGTAATTAAGACGAGAGTGAACAAACACATATCAATTCGTCAATAGTGTTGAATAACACCAAGGGAACTGGCGAATTAACAACACAACTTAATTGGGGGGGGGAATTGGTGAATGCTGAGTAACACAGACACACAGTTGAATATGTGAATAAGTGAAGAACACAAATCTTGAACATCAAATTGACCTTAATTATGGTACGCACTCCGTTAAATCCGAAATTGAAGAGAAGTAGTGAACTCTGTTGTCTCTGACGTACGTGCATTGCGACTAACAAGGAATCACATTGACCACATGTCCACCAACATATATTTTGATGTTGGATTGACAGACAAGATACTACGACTATGTACTACGCGTCTGCCACAAAGCGACATCAGTAGACTATAGTTGCAGTAAGCATCGACTCTAGTTGGCAAACGATACATTGATCAACAATGACCTCTGGCATTAGCTACGACAAAAAAGAATATATGATCATTGTAAAATTATACTTTAGTTCCATGAAAGAACTAAGCACATCGAGATCAATTGTCATTTTGTTCAGGATGAAATCAACGTGGGAATGAATTTGTGTACTTAGCATGTTGTTTCTGCTGATCAACCAGCAGACAAGCCGGACATTCGTAATCTGCACGCTCTAGCTTGAGGTAGAAACCCTTTCCCGATATTATTTTCTTACAAGGCTTGATTTGATTTGTTGCTTACTTTAGTTATTACGTGTATATCAAATGAAATATGCTGAAAAGTTGTTCTCACTTACTTCCTCCGTCCCAATTTAAATCGCCCGTTTTGACTTTTGGGCATATTTGGAAAAATAAAAAATGATGTTGATTTTTCAAAATTGACATTATTTTTTAAGAGGGATAATGATGAATGAGAAGATAAGGTGAAAAAGAATGACTTATTTTAAGGGTAGTTTAGGTATTTTATTTTTAATAGTTTACGAAAACAACTAACAGACAATTTATTTTGGGACAGAGAAAAAAGGCAAACATGCAATTTAAAATGAGACGGTGGGAGTATATTGGTAGCTACCGACTCTAGAATAGTACTTGAAATTTAAGGAATATGAGCCCATGCTCATAATGATTCGTGTTACTAACCTGGTTTTCCCGATAAAGTTTACCATTGACTTAGATTTATCGTTAAACCGTATAGATTATTTTTGTGAGTACTTGTATAATTTTGATTCTTTATATTTAAAATTCATAATAATCAAACAAAATTGATATTAGATGTAAATGTTATTATTAGTTTTTTGAATAAAATGTTTTCAAAATATGGTTTCCCTAATTAATAAACTATTTTTTGTTATTGAGTTTAAACTCAAAAGTTGAAAATAATTGACTACAAACAATCAGAATTACACAAATATTCAGAAATAGAGAAAGTAGAAAAGGACACAATCTTTGAAATATAAGTAAGCTTAATTTGATTTGTTGCTTACTTGGGTTATCTCACTTATCCGGTACATATTAAATGAAATGTGTTGAAAAGGTGTTCTCACTTTGAGTGTTAGCCCATGCTTATAACGTTCCGACGGTTCCGTGTTGCTAGCCTGTTTTTTCTGATAAAGTCTACCATTGACCTTAATGCTAGATTCACAATGAAAATACATTTTAACTAATAATAATTGAAGAAAATCGATATTAGATATAAATGTTTTTATTATTTTTTTAATAAATTTTTTTCAAAATATTCACTTCCCTCATTAATAAATCAATTTCTTCTTATTTACTCCGTCCCACTGTCTTTGTTTTGTTTACTTACCTTTTGGCACATCATCCAATGCACTTCTTTAATCCATTTTATCTTGTAATTTGTATATTAAAAAGTTATACAAATTATATATTACTCCCTCCGTCCTAAAACTTTCTTTCCAGTTGACATTTCCCCATTTTTAATTTTTGGCTTTGACTTCAAATTTTACCATCCTTAAAAAAGATTTTTTGCAATTTTTTTTTGCAATCATTCAAAATATAGAGTTAAAAGATAATTGGTGCAAATACATGAGGGCATTAATGTCATTTGTTATCTTTTTTTTCTAATGGGAATGTAGTTTTAGGACAGAGAAAAAGGGGAAGTGTGAAGAAAGTTTTAGGACGGAGGGAGTAATAATCTATATGTTAAGACGAATCAAACAAGATCACACATGACTAGTTTTAGGTTTACACATTAAGAGAATTTGATGAGTCAAAGTACTTAGATGAACAGTTCCAAAAGTCAAAAGTGGACAAAGACAATGGGACGGAGGCATTAGTACGGAAACCCCTCATCTTTGCCACACTTATTCCAAATCACTATGGTTTAAAAAGATGCAACCTTGCCCCCTAAGCTATTTTCGGTTGAATCGCCGGTTAATAAATCACCTTAATAGGACTAAAACAGAGAGAAAAGTATCAGAATAAGATTTCAAGTTTTTTTCCTAAAATATGTTTTTACACTGTAGTAATGTGACTTTGCACTATGCTAATGTGACAGTGTACATGTGCACATTATTATATTTTTTTGGTAATGTATATAAACATGTTTGGTAATGTATGTCTTATTTTGGAAACAAAAATATGGAATTTCTATTTTGGTATAATTTCAATGTTTTAGTCCTATTTTGGTTTTTATCCCAATCTTTGATCCCTGCTAAATTCACGAGGGGGCGAAGCAAATCTTGCTATCCATTTTGTATTATTCTCCAGTTTCATAAGATATTCCTTATGAAACTGTATGATTAATATCATAATATGACACCATACCCTAGCCTTTCAGGTAACTTATTTGACTATTATTTTTATTTTTTTATTTTTTGAAAACCGACTATGTCTCTTTGCTTTTAAGGCCCCGTTCCGTTCAACTTATTTTTTCTTATTTTTTCTTATTCTTATTAAAATCAGATCAGATCAAATCAGACCAGATCAGATTAGATCGAATCAGATAAGATCAGATCAGATAAAATCAGGCCCCGTTCCCGCCAACGGAGTGAATTATCATTAAAATTTTCAAACGTTATTATAAAGCCAAATTAAATTATTGATTTGAAAATTTAAATTAAATCATAATTAATCAGATCAGATCCAATCAGATCAGATTAGATCTAATCAGATCAGATCAGATCAAATCAGATCAGATTAGACCAGTTCAGATCAGAACTTATTAGAATCAGATCAGATCAGAAAAAATAAGTTGAACGGAACGGAGCCTAAGTCCGTATACACAGGCAAAATTTCTTTGTTTTGTACTCCCTCCGTCCCCAATTTGATTACAAATTGCGGGTTACGGAGTAAAATTTCCTACTTTTTGAAATCATTTTATTTACAAATTGGTATATCAATAAAACATAAAAATAACATTTTAAAAAACTACGTGAAAAGTTCTACAAAATAAGAGGTGACAAGAATATTTTATTTTATCAAATACTTAATGAAATCGCGTAAACAAACAAAAGTTATCGAGAGGAGAGAGAAAATTTTTTTTAATCCATTTAGAGACGGAGGGAGTATGAAATACAGCAATCAGCACAAAGTTCAACATTTACAGATTTGGATCTTTAGGGTTGAGCAAGCGAACTGTCCCAAGAATGCCATCTCAGAACCGTGAGTAAGAGTAAAGATATTGGTGGGTCTTGGTGAAATAGTGGGCTAATAGCATGGTTGCCCCATGTGGTTTACAAAAATGGCGTCAAAACCCTCCCTGTTTTCAAAAGTTATTTGTAAAGTCCCCATGGTTTCTAAATAGAGCACACATGCCCCCCTTACCTATTTTTAAAGCAAAAATGACATTTATGCCCTTTCTTTTCCTCGATCTTAAATTTTTCCAATTTTATTTTTCTTTTATTATACAAATATATAAAATAAAATATACGTTTGTCATCTTAAATTAAAATTTTCCATAATGTATTTTCGAAAACAAAAGATTTTTTTTGGAGAATGTTACAAAAGAAAAATAAAAATAAAATATTATGTACAAAGTAAAAAATAATAATTGAAAAAGGTAATGAAAAGAAAAAAAATATATAAAACAACTTTTTTTTCTTTAGCTCCCTGTTTTATTTCATCATTCTATTCTTCCTTTTTTAAAGTCCTTAAAAAATAATTTTACTTTTAAAAAACAAATAAGTTAAAATTTTTATTTAGAGATACAGTGAGTATATGTAATCTAATTTTTTATTTTATTTATTTTACTTTTACTTATAATGAAAACGTGTATTTTATTTCATTTTTTAATTTTTCATTTTCTTTTATAACATTTTCTAAAAAATATTATAACATTTTCTTTTATAACATTTTCTTTCTTTTCATTACCTTTTTCAATTATTATTTTTTACTTTGTACATAATATTTTATTTTTATTTTTCTTTTTTAACATTCTCCAAAAAAAATCTTTTGTTTTCGAAAATACATTATGGAAAATTTTAATTTAAGATGACAAGCGTATATTTTATTTTATATATTTGTATAATAAAAGAAAATAAAATTGGGAAAATCTAAGATCGAGGAAAAGAAAGGGCATAAATGTCATTTTTGCTTTAAAAATAGGTAAGGGGGGCATGTGTGCTCTATTTAGAAACCATAGGGACTTTACAAATAACTTTTGAAAACAGAGGGGGTTTTGACGCCTTTTTTGTAAACCACAGGGGGCACCCATGCTATTAGCCCGTGAAATAGTGGATTTAATTATGTATTTTTTGATGTCTTGGGGAGAACATCATCTGCAATATTTCTTTGTTTACACCTTAGATTTTGGTTGTGATGTGGCCTGTATTTTTGCAACTGATTTACGGAGTAGTATTTTTGTGATGGTTTGTGATGTTATTGTGACGACTTTTTATAACTGAGTAGTTGATTGCTTTTTGCAATTAGTTTCCACCTTTGTGTTGTAATGATTTTGTGCTAGTCCATTTAATTCACTATCCTGGAGTAGTTTGATGTCAAATGCTCCCTATTTCATTCACAAAGTTTCCTTCTATCACAAAATTGCATTCTTTTGTTTTCTTGATTAAAAGTTATAAACATTGATTTTGATATGTAATGCCAGTAATTTGATATAAATATAATATCAATAGTTTTTTTTAATATGGATTTTTTCTATTTGTCTATTTTTCCATTCATTGTTTGCTTGTTTTCATAAGGATTTTCTAAAATTTCTTTTTAATGTTTAATAATGTTTTCAAAAAAAAATGAAAAAATAAATTAAACCAAACTATATTGGTCTCAAATGCATCTCTTATACTTTTTTGAAATAAGATAAAAGTTTGGGACATCTAAATAAATAAAGAATAGAAAATGAAATACAAAAAAAGAAAAATTGAATAGAAAAAGAAATGAAAAAAAGTATTATGGAAAAGTGAAAAGCAGCCATGTCCTAACATACAAAAAAGACTTTTTTTATGTTCCGAAAAAATCATTTGTGCTGAACATGGGAAAAAAATAAAAGTAATTGAATAAAGGACATTTTTGTCATAATAAAATAGAATAATTGCATCATTGCCCCCTATAATTTGAAAATTGAGCACTAATGCCTCCCTTTCATCAAATTTCCATCGCACAACCGGAGTGTAATGTCCACGCGCTACATAAACACCGGTGGATGGGGTATATGTTCGTTCTTTACAAATCAGAAGGATTTTGGGTATAAGTATTAAAACGAGGGGGGGGGTTCTGTGCCTATTTTTCAAACTAGAGGGGGGGGGTTGCGCTATTTGGCCTTAGTTCAAATTCAAAAGTTTAAAATGTTTGACTGCAAAAAGTCAAAACGGCACAAGTACTCACAAAGAGAAGAAGTAGAAAAGGATACAATCTTTGAAAAATAATTCAGGCTAGATTTGATTTGTTGCGTACTTGGGTTATCCCGTATATATGAAATGTGCTGAAAAGTTGTTCTCACTTTTGTTGTTAGCTATAGACTAAAAATAAGATGAAGCCATGTTTAGATACACGAGGATGTATAAACAATCTTTAGAAGCTTAATTTTATTCTTGATTAATATTCAGATACTTATTCATAGATTAGCCTCTAAAGCTCACATATCCAAGAAAAAGCTTCCTACGGATAACAACCATATGTAACATAAACCATTGCCATTTATGATGTCAAACCTCAAGGCATTGTATTGTTATTCTATCTCCAAATTTCAAATATAGTAAGGCCCCATTTGGTATATTGAATTCAAAGTATGGGATTGAAATTGAGGACTTCAATTCCAATTCTGGTGTTTGGTAGCAAAAAACTTATGTAGATTTGGAATTGATAGTACAAAACATGAATTGGAATTGCTAAATTCAATTTTATGGAATTGAATCTCATGGAATTTCAATTTCAATCCAATTCTAATTCCTTCAATTCCGTATACCAAACGAACTCTAAGGACTTTTTAAACATTGATGATGATACGGAGTATTACATTAATTCATATTGTGAGAACCAAGGTTTGGGTTATTTCTCCCAAGTGAATGACATAGCGTCCTAAAAGAATTCGTTTATCTCCATTCTCATTAGTCACACTCAAATCTTTGACGTGGAGGCTAAACTTCACCAACACTTCTTCCTTAGGCAACAAACATACCTTGCTAAAGTCCAACAGGTGCTTTTGTGGTGCACTATGAACGGGAGGGGGTGAGGAATACAGGATGATTGTGTCACACCCACTTCGATCTCCAACATTCTTTACTTTCATTTGCAGAGAAAACGAAGAGTGTTGAATAGCAATGGGGTCGCACTCAACAGCATTACAAAAATGGTTCTCTTTGGGGTGCAAATGGATGGTTTTGGGTGGTCCAATGACAATGGTGTGTGTGAAATTGGTGTAGCTCAACCCATGCCCGAAATCAAAGACAGTTGGTCCTTTGTAGAATCTGTATGTCCTGCCGAGATAGCCAGACTTAGGATCTGGTCTCATGCGCATATCTGTCATTGGCACGCCCTCTACGTAGGATTGTGGATACCATGTCACTGGTAGCTTCCCACCTTAAACAAAAGAACCATAAAAAATAAGAGTCTAATTATGTCAAGGAACCAACTCAAACTAAAGTTAAAGCTTGTGGGTTCAATAATTCGAATAGTTTGTTTGATTATATGGATAAAGAAACGGCAAAGGAGGGAGTAAAATGACTTGCGTTACGTACTTGGGTTATGTGACCCAAAAATAACATCAGCAATGGCAGTACCACCGGCTTCACCAGGGAACCCAACCCATAGGATGCTTGTTATGGCTGGATTATCGATGGCGAAGGACACATCCATTCCACCTCCAGACAATATGACAAGGATGACAGGTCCTTTGGAAATCTTTGAAACTTCTGATACTAGAGCAGACTGCTTCCCCGGAAGAGTGATATTGATCCTATCGAGGCCTTCATTCTCGATCAAAACGTCAGAGCCCATTATCAAGACAACGGCGTCTACACCTGAGGCAATTTTCTTGGCCTCGTTAATGCTTAGAGTCTCACAGTATACGTCTTTGCATCCCGGAGTATACACAGTTGGCACAAACCTGGTTAGCCCTTGTAAAGGAGATGTGTACCTACATGGGATGCCTAAACAGTTTTTTATAGGGAATTGTGTTACATTCTATGAAAAACATGGTCATTATATTGGACATCTTTTTTAGGATTTGTTTTCAAAGATAGGACAGGGTATAAAAAGGGTAACCTGCATAATTTCCCAACATAGATTTAGTTGCATTAGCATTTGGTCCAATCACTCCTAAAGAATTTATTGAGGTGGCAAGGAGAGGGAGTGAACCGGGAGAATTCTTTAGCAAGACTATGCCCTCCCTTGCAGCTTCCTCAGCAAGGTCCTGATTGTCTTGAGAACAAATATCTTTAGTCCCAAGATTCCCATAGAATTGCTTCTTTGGATTTCCATCAAAGAAACCGAGTCGCATCAGAGTGGAAAAACCATTTTCCAAAGCTCTATCAACGTCGGTTTCATTCACAAGTCCTTTGTCGATTGCAGCTTGAGTGTGGTTAGCCGAAAAAAATGCACAATTGATGTCTACCCCTGCGTAACATTATCTATATAAACAAACAAATAGTTCCATGTGGCATTTTCCAATTTATCTTCAACTAATAATTAAACAACCAGATGGGGAACTAAACAAACCCAACCTGCTTTCAAGCCTAGAGCAACAGTCTCTTCTGGCGTTTTCGTGTAGTGCTGATCGTTGAAAATCTTGTTGAGCGAATCACAGTCGGTCACAATGTATCTAGGAAATCGCCACAATATAACAAACCTGTTACAACATAGAAAACCAAGCAATTGGAATCAAGCAACTTTGACAAGTGAGTAGTTAAATCACCCATTCAGGTTCCATTTTCCTCTGACCACTCCAGCTAACAAATCGGGATCGCCACAAACTGGCTTCCCGTTGACTTGGTTGTAAGAGCACATCACACTTGCAGCCTTTGCGTCCCGAACGCAGCTCTCAAAGGGAGGCTGGAATGTATCCTCCATGTCTTGTTTAGTCACCTGCAGATATATCATATCAAAAGGATGAAGCTAAGAATATTATATACACCCAAGATTTTTTTTCCAAATTCGATCAAAACCAAGAATGTACACGTACCACAGCATTGAAAGTATATCGAGAGATTCCATTCCAATTATCCAGATCATAAGCAGTGTAGTGCTTGCAACATCCAGCAATTTTGAGCTTTCCATTACTATCGCCATCATCGTGCTGTTGAAGTCCTTTGACATATGCAACGGCGTACTTGCTCGTAAGCAGTGGATCTTCCCCCGGAGTTTCCTGGCCCCTACCCCACCTCGGGTCCCTGAATATGTTAAGGTTTGGTGTGAAAAATGTCAGACCTGCCAATCCAAGATTGTGCGTTGCTCTAGCCTCCGTCGATATTGCCTGCATCAAACTCAAACATGAAATGCAGTACAACCTCGAAATGCAGTAATTTATCTCCAACCCATTACTCCAAATTCAAATTCTAATCAAATTATACTTTTTTTCATTTCTTTTTATGGTTTAAAATTAAAAAACATTCAATAAAGAAGAGTAAATTCTCAAAATGATCCTTTATAATATGGTATTTTTCTCCATTCATTCTTAAATAAGTTCTAATTATCAATATGGTCCTTTATAATTGGGATTTATTCCTCAAATGGTCCTTTGTAAATAATGTTACTCAAATAATGATTAATTAAAAGATAATTTGGTATTTCTATCATCTAAATTCACAATTATATTCTCAAAATGGTCATATCTATTCAATTAAATGTAAAGTTAAAAAAATATATTGACTATACATAATCCATTTTTAGTTATTTAAAACTTATCAAAAATATTTTAAATTTCAAATCAAATACACAACTTTAATTAGAAAAAACCATTTTGGAAAGAACTTCTTTAGATTTGATTATCTTAAGAACTTATTCTAAATTTAGCTGATAAAAATATTAAAATACCCCCAATTAATCATTTGAGTAATACTAGTTACGAAAACAATCTAGGGAATAAATCTCAATTATAAATGACCATCTAGGTAAATAAAATTTATTGATGACTGATTTAGGAAAACACATTTGTTAGATAAGACTATTTTAAAAATTTACCCCATAAAAAATAACAAAAAAAGGGCTCACATCGGAAAGTACCCATTTTCATAACTAAATTACCACATATTTACTCTTAATAAATTACAGTGTATGCTAAGATAAAAAGGCGTTATATGTTACCACACCTTTTCAAATGAGATATTTTGACCATCAAATGTACATTTATATTTTAATAAATAATTTAAAAGTTATGATTTTTGAAAACTATATTTTAAGACAAATTAATGATATTTAATTTATATCATTATTTGATAATTATATTTGAAATTATATGGAAAAAAATTTCAATTTTGATAAAAACAAACGTTATATTAGGACATTATTGCTAAGAGAAAGAGAATTTCAACATGTGGCGAGTCTACTTGGCATATTTTTAACAAGTCATCTGCCACGTATTTAATCTTGCGATTTTTTTCCAAAACATGCATTGTGGGGGTTTGAACCCAAAACCTCCTAGACATTTGATTGAGTTTCTAGCCATCCAAGCAAGGGTGATTTTTATTACAAGTTCACATAACCCCTTATGATATTTCATAATTAAAAAAGATTGTATAAAAATTCCTTTTCAATTTAAAAAATAAAATTTTATATATAAAATTTGAAAGTTGGCTTTCTAGAATTGTGACATGTGGCGTGTTTATTAAACAATTTTTTTAACATGTCAAAATGCCATGTTATCAAGTTATATTTAAAGAATTAGTTAACAAAAAAACTTATTCAATGGAAATTAAATTTTGTATTTGTTACACTCAAATTTCTCAGCATAATCGCATTTAAAAACTTTTATATCTTAATTCATTATTGGAAAATATTTAAATTAAATAATATATTTTGAAATTAAAAAAATAACTCATATTCAAAAACAATAATCAAAATAAATAAATTTATTCTAAGAACTAGATTGGTAGGACTAAAAGAAATTACATATGAATATTTTTTTACTTTGAATTAATACTAATTAGAGAGATATTCCAACTTTGAAAAAAGAGAAACAAATATATAAAAGAAAAATGATTTTTATGGGCATGTTTATTTTATAGAGCAATAATTTTATATCATATATATTAAAAAAATTCTAAGTCAAATAACAAGTATGTTCCATTTTAAAATTAGTATTTTCCATTTTTTTAATTATTATTTTCTATTACTAAGTTTGTAAAAATTTATAGATATGTTCCAAAAAATTACTATTTTTCATTAATAAATTTTAAAATGATGATGACTTAGTATGTGAGTATTTATGTGTAAGAAATTAATTATTAACCGGTGTTCCTAATCAAAATATTTATGGTATAATATTAACTATTATAAGTGTAATTAGTATTAATTAAAATTCTTGAAATTAAAAAGGCATGCCTTTTTTGACATTATTTCAAAATAAAATAAATAAGTAATATTCAGGGCTGTCTCTAAGAAATGAGAGACCCTGTACGACAGTTAGAAAATGAGCCATTGTGTTATAATAAAATAAAGTCTATTCATTAATTTATTTAACAATAATTAACATTATATTAATAAGAATAATATCTAGACCCTACTGTAGTAAGATTAGGAGCGTCGAGATTTTTAATCCCTTTGGTGCTAACCGAGTGCTCATTGTATGACAATAAACAATGGAGTCTGAAAGCAGACCTAATCCAACAAGTAAGTATAATCATATGAGATTTACCATCTACGATGCATATATTTTCTTTTGAGACATTGGATTACACAATGAGAGATGTAATGAGGTTCTCCAATAATAGATTCATTAATGAACCATTCACATGGAAAATATTTGTACTCAAAGAAGATTTATCCAAATTCTTTCAGTTTTACTCATAGCTTTGAGAGAGGAAATTGTAGGTGCTACCACCAATTCCTCACAAATGTAGTTGTATTGTAAAATTTATACATTGATCAAAAATATGAGATTGCATTAATCTACACTCTCTTACACAGGCAATGACACATAAGCTTTTTCTGATTGGATATCAAAGTCAAAGATGGAAAACTTAGACAAGTGATCGATGAAACTGCTGACATTGAAATTAAATCTTTCCGCATTCTTGATTCTTGAAATAAGTTATCCTCTCAAAAGTTATAGTGGACTTCACTTATCCGAACCTATTAGAGAACATGATTTTTTTTAAGGAAAGTGTACTTTTAACACCCGCACTCAAGTTTGTTAAATGGTAATGAATTTTTCATATCACTCATGCAAAGCTGATTTAAATGTAGCTGTTGAAGACAATTGAATAACACTTTAGTTTTTTTTAATTAAATCAAATATTCAGGGATCCAAAACCATAAAAAAGTTTTTAAAAAGGGGGTACTGACTATATCATTGAAGAAATTGACTAAATATCTGGATTGTGTAATGATAGAAGATTAATCGTTTAGAAGTTGAGAAAGAACATTATCACTGCAATTGAGGTTTCATGAAATCAATTGAGAAAAGGATTTTCATACCCCGAATGAATTTGGTATCATCTGATTCAAGACTACCTAAGAAATTCTAGAGAAAATAATTCTTAATAGTTTTATATTTTACTATGACTATTAACAAAAGTTAAGGTCAAGCATTGTCTTTTGTTGTATTATTTTTAACCAATTTAGTATTTAGTCATTGTTAGCTTTATGTTACTTTTTCACGAATGAATGCAAAGACATGATTAAAAATATTGGTTCTAGATAACAATGGAAACCTTTACAACCATACCAAAAACGTTGTGCACCCTAAAGTCTTTCAAAAAATTGGAATTAAATAAGGTTTTTTAGTACACTTTCATTTCCTCAAATATGATTTATTCTACTGTTGTCGTTGTTGTGCATTGATTAAAAATCGTGTTAGAAATATATTTACTTGATTCCGGAGTATATATTACACTGAAAAAAAATCGAAATCGACAAAAATTTTGTTTAGCCCCGTGCGTCGCACGGGTCAAAATACTAGTTGAGAAAAAAGGACGGACAAGATCGATAATACTCCAATTGTTCATAAATTAACTTCATGTTTGACTTTTCATGGTCTCCAATGCGACATTTTGACTATTAATATCTCCATTTTAATATAAATATATATAACAAAAATAATATATTTCAAAACTATGTTTAAAAATGAATCTATTGATTATAAATTTATATGAAAATTCAACATATATTTTCTGTAATATATAATCATAGTTTAAAAGGTTTGACTGCAAAAGTTAAACTGAAAAGTTAATTTTAGGACGGAGTATATATTAAACACGGGACTGCATATTTCGATTAAATTTTATACGGAGTATGATTTTTAAATATTACGGAACTAACCTTAGCAATGGAGTGAAACAAGGTCACATTGAATGACGCGGCACTGAGGATGGGGGCGGGGAAGATGGTGGAACCCGGGACGAGACTGGTGTAACCGGGGCTCTTGATCAGGTCCACCCCGTGCAACGCCTCGGACCACCATTGGTATTTGGGGATCCCGAGCCGGGTCACGTTGCTCGCCTCCGTGACCAGGAACGAAATCTTCTCCCGCAAACTCAACCTTTTGAGCAGATCATCCACTCTTGTCTTCACATCCAACGACGCATCACAGAAAGTGAAATTCCTATACGCCGGAACCTTGTCGACGTCACACGCAAAAGTGGGCTCCATTTGCGCCGAACCCGTGGAAAACATCGCAATGAGGGGGAAGAAGAAGAAGAAGAAAAGGGAGGAGAAAGCTTCCATTGGTCTCCCTTGTAATTTTAATGCAAATCTTTTTTGGGCTTGCATTGCTAGTTGATATTTGCAATATATGTTGATCAGTGCAAGCCTGCAATTTTGTTACAAGTATATTTGCAAATATTTGTATACATATAGTGATCTAGTGTATGATATAGTGATATTATGTAGAATGTTAATTCTTTTATAGACCTTAGCCTACACAAGCTTTACCTTTATGTTTACAAAACGTACATAGAGTGATTTATTTATTTCTTGATGGCAGGTCCGGAATTGAATTGACCAACTGTTACTTTAGTGTCAATTTAATAAAGAACCTCTATCTCCATTACATTAGTTCGTCATTCATTAGTGCAACTCCTATTAATTAATTATGCCACTAATTCGGTTACTCTTTTAAATTAGAACAAAAAAATTAGCATATGTTAATTGCCTAAAACATAATGACTTTCTCAATATATGAGCATATGTTTTTATTTCTCAATGTAGGACCATTGGTCATTACCTATTAGTCATTATTTAACTAAATGTCTAGCATCACTTGGACATTATTCTTCTCACTATACATTATTAAATCTTATTTAGAGAATAAAAATGTTTAAGCCCTACATTAAGAAATTTCACATAAAAAATTTTAGACCCATAAAAAATATTAGACCCATAAAAATGTTTTAATTCTAATCATTGCAAATTTCACATAAAAAATATTAGACCCATAAAACTGCCCGTTGAAACTGCCTGGGGGTTTGACTTTTCTAGCGGACATCGTTGACTCTTAAGAGATAAAGAATTGGTGGCGCCCAAAACCTCCTGGACGGTGATTATGGCATTAAGAAGTTAGATTTCAAAAAAGAAGTATAGAATTTAGAGGCTGTTTGGCAACTTCTGAATAGGTAAGTACTGAACTAGTAAGAGGTTTGAACCATTAAGTGCTGAACTAGTAAAAGGTCTAAACCATTAAGAGCTAGTATATGCTTAACTATTCAGAGGCAAATGTCTGATCAATTTAGATAAGAGCTCTTAACCATTCAAACTCTGCATAATACTTAACCATTCAGAAGCAAATCTTTTAACCATTCAGACATCTGAACCATTAAGATGCTGAAACAAACAGTCTGAACCATTAAGTGTTGGATCATTCAGACATCTGAACCATTAAGAGGCTGAAACAAACAGCCCTTTAGAAATGGATTATTCTCTCTTTTATTTATTTATGTAATTTTATTGATTACTTGTTAAAATAAAATATTTTTGAAACTGTTTATTTTGTGAAATTTTTGACGTGATTTATATATATATATATATATATATATATATATATATATATATATATATAGAGAGAGAGAGAGAGAGAGAGAGAGAGAACTTCTCCCCTGGCTTGAGTGGTAGCAAGCCCACTCCCCAGGATTCATGGGGAAGTTCACCCAGGTTCGAGCCCCAGCGAAGGCAGCAGCTTTGGCTCTTTGTGCGTCATTAGTCATTAGTTTGAGAATAGTATGAACAGATACTACCTTGTAATATATATATATATATATATATATATATATATATATATATATATATATATATTATTTTTAATTTATATATCAATCTTTAAATAAAATGAATTGAAAAAGTTTAAACTCTTACTTTATTTTGTGTAAAGTGAAGATAATTATGATATGTATAGTAAGCAACAAAAACAAAAAAGTAAAAATATATTTGATGAGTGAAGGTCTGTAAAATATACTCCGTATTGTGGTCTATGGACCTTTGGTTCATCAAAGATATACACTAAGGCTCTATTCTTTTGGGTTAAAATTTCAGAGTTGCATGCTGAAAGAAATTTGAAAGATTTAAAAAATGTTGGAAGAATTTAAATGTTAAAAGTCACTTAATTAAATGATCCTCCAAATACATCTGTAAGAAAATTCTAATTTTAAATAAAAAAGAATTATTCCAAGAGTTAGTTGTTGGAAAAAATAAGAAAGAGTTAGAAAAAATTGGAAAGAATTGAAAAAAACTAAAAGTTAGAAATGTTAGAATAATTAAAGTGTTAAAAAGTCTCTCAATTAAATGATCAGCGAAATAAATATGAAAAATACTCTAATTTTGAATAAAAAACATTCATTCTTGTCCGTATTTGAAATGTTATGTTATAAATTTGGATTTAAATTTTTTTTTTGATATATTTATCATATATTAGTACTTTTTTAAAATCGTTAGAAAAAATGATCGAGAAGGAGTTAGAAGGAATTATATAAGAAATTGGAACTAATCATGAAAAAACACAAAAATGTAATGTGAAGGTGGTCAAGTCCATCACGCTCCCACTAACACTATGTTTGGTTCAAGGAATTTGGAAGGAAAATAAAAGAAAACGGTTTTCTCTCATTTTCCTCACCAAAATGGGAGGAATTTGATTTTCCCTTCACTTGGTACATTTTGCCTTCTCATTTTCTTTTTCTTCCACTTTTCCTTTTTTTTTCCCCTATAACCATACATGAAAAACTATTTTCCACTTCATTTTCTTTTCTTTTCTCTTTCAAATTCCTTGAACCAAACATAGCGTAAATGAAACCAATCATGAAAAAATTTATGGGTGAACTAAACATTTTGGTTTGGTTTTGGGCTCTTAAAACCAAACTGAATTGTACGTTTTACATGGAAGTATACTACTTGTAAGGATTTGTCGAAAATATTTTTTAAGAATACATTTCTTTTTTATGTTTTATTCATATACATTCTCCGTATTTTCTCACACATTTTGTTTGTTAGTAATTTTTTCTTTAAAAATTGTAAATAAAGTGGAAATTGAAGGGAACTAATAAATTACATCCAAAGTTTTAAGATAATGAAAAAATATAAATGTTTTGTTATTCCATATCAAAAATTGATCAATTCAAATACGGAGTATTTGTTTTAAAGATCGAGCGTACGCTATGTTGTCATTATACTTGCTATTTTTAAAATTTGATTTGTTTTTTAATACGGTAGTTACTTTAATTTGTTGTTGCATCATTAAAAATTGTAACATCGAGCCAATTTTTTTATAAAAATTGTTTATCTTGTTAAAAGAACATCACGTTGGCCAAAAAATATTACGTTGTTATTACTTCATGATGCGAGAGTTTTTCGATACATCGTTTGATACCGAAAATCCCGATCAAAAAGATGTAAATAAAAATGAAATGGAATATGGGAAAAAGTAAAGGAGTGAGTGTAATGGTATAGTACAAGATGTCGAATCCACGGGGATAGCGTAATTTGTTAGAAATTGAGCACAAAGTGTAACTAAACAACAAAATTGAATCGTATAATGGGAATCAAGGCCGAAGAAAAAGATAAGAGAGAATGATATACAAGTGGAAACTAAACTAATGCAAAGAAATGCAAGAAATAAATGAAGATAAGGAATTTCATGCTAACAATGTTATTGTCAATAGGAATAGAGGGAAATAGGAAAACGACTAGAATGCGAGCAAATAAAAGATAAGAGAGAAAAACATAAACAAAGCATAAAGAAGATGAAGTAAATAAAAGCTAACACTAAGGAACAAGAAAATAAACATTCAAGTGCTAGAGTAATTCTTTGGAGAGTGGAAACAGTTTGAAGAAAATGAAAATTGTTGGAAAAAACTAAAAAAAATAGGAAAAAATTAGGAGAAACTAAAAGAATTAGAAGAAAGTGGAAAAAACTGAAAGAATTCGGAAAGAGCTGGAAAAAACTGGAAGTTAAGAATTTAAGCTTTAGAGAACAGACTCTAAAAGAATTATGTATAGTAATTTCATCATACACCCGTATTCTCTTTTTTTAGTGTAATCATTTCATGCATGTGAGAGGAGGAATACTTTGTTCGTTCCTGAAGAAGTTCTGAGGGTCGATCATCGTCTTAGCTCTGACTAACCTGTCAAAATTGTTCTTGAAATATTTGACACCCCAAACCTTAGCATCTTCATAGGTTGAACAATTGACATTATGGTTTTGTCCAATGTCAAGATCCCTATAGTTCACAAATGCTTCCCTTGGAGACTTTGAAACATATGGCTCAAAGTATTCATATAACCTTGTTATCCAATCCGTGTGTTCTTTTTCTGCTCTACCACCCTTTTGAGTCCAACTCACAAACTGGTGGATTTTGTACAAAGTCCCAGCTCTATGAGGAAACGGAGTTGAAGATTCCGTTATCTCTTCCATCATTCCGCCGTACGGCGTTAAAATCATTAAACCCGAGTTGTTTTGACGGAAGAAATCCCAAATCCCTTCCCACCCTTCTACGGGAATCGGTTTCTTCACAAAGTCCGATTTGCCCTTGAAGTAATTCGGCTCCCCGTCGTTACCGGTGGCGTTTAACAAGTCCGTTAGGGGTGAATTCGGAAAACCGTGAATGTATAATACCGATTCCGCCCAACTTAACTCTTTTAGGTTTTGTCTAGTCAGCCCTAACTCCGGTAATGTCTGGTTGAGAATAGGGAGCAGTTTTTCGATTGGTCCGAGGAATAATGAGTTGAAAACGACAAAAACCTGTCCACTCAGTCCAAATGCAAAGAATCTAATGAACAGCTCCCTAGGCAATGTCGGCGCGACTGTCTGCCATTTATGTACGAGGTTTGTCATGTCTGGATTGACAACTCTATGGACGTTGAAAACCGTGACGTTTTCCGGCACGTCGACCAAGTTCAGTTTCCATGCAAGTATTACACCAAAAGTGTTACCTCCCCCTCCTTTGATGGCCCAGAAGACATCCTCCCCCATCGACTCGCGGTCGAGAACCCTCCCGCGCGCGTCGACTAGGCGGGAGTCCACCACGTTGTCCGCCGCGAGGCCGTACTTTCTCATCATCGCGCCGTACCCTCCCCCGCTTATGTGCCCGCCCGCGCCGACCGTCGGGCAGATGCCCGCCGGGAAACCGAGAACCCGGCTCGTCTCCGAAATCCTATAGTAGAGCTCCCCCAGAGTCGACCCCCCTCCGACCCACGCCGTCTTTCTCATTGGGTCTATAGTGATGTTCTTGAAGTGAACGAGGTCGAGAATCAAGAACGGATTCCCGAAGTAGCTCGTGTGGGAAAGTCCTTCGTAGTCGTGCCCGTTCCCGCGGACCCGCACATGCAAGTCGTGCTCTTTTGCACAGAGAATCACGTCTTGCACCTTGGACTCGTGCCTGGGGGTCACTATGACCAGAGGCTTTGGGGTGTCCGAGGTGTTGAACCTGGTGTTCTGGATGCGGGACCCGAGGACCGACAAGAAGGAGGGGTCATTCGGGGCGTAAATGTTGCCGGAAACGGAAGGTCCGTTCCCCAAATTACGTGTATTCATGCATTGTCGGAAACCGTAGACAATGTTGGCGGCGGAGGTGTTGTATGCGGCGGAGATATGGAAGAGCAAAGAGAGAGAGAGAGAGCCAAAATGTGATTTGAGTCTCCATTCTTTTCCTTTATGTTTGGGACTTAAAATTGTTTGGGATGTTACATGGTCTCTTATAAATGCCTCAGCTCTCTATGGAATTAAATTCAAACGGTATTGTTAAGTGTATAGTTCAGTTTAATTTATTTATTTATTTATACACTGAATGCAATTATGAGACATTTAATTAGAGATTTTATGTATACATTGGAATGAAACAATAATAATGTCGCACATCATGCACTGCATAAACGTTATTAGTGCTACATGAGCTGAGAGTTTCCCATCATATATATCCAAGTATCAAATGACCCTTGTTTGAGAATATTATTTTCCATTGATATTAATATTTTGGATAAATTTTTAATGGTATATATAGCTAGATTAACTTAAAAAATATCAAACCGAAACGTTGTAATTAGAAAAATTTTTGAAAATGCTAAAGCTAAACGCCGAATGATTGGTGGAAAATGTGCCCATTTCACCATGTAAATGAATGGATTCAACATGCTGAAGAGCAAAAAAGTTGAGCAGGATGGATCAAGATCAAGCCAAGAAAGATTGAGATTGAAGTTGTCCTTAAGACCGGCCCAACATTTGATTCTTCAAATTAGGTCGTGAAAGACTAGACCGGAGACAGGAATGGTGATCCTTTGTGGACCGGACCAGGTCTAACTGAGACTAGTTTGATTGTTTTTGGAATACTAATTTGATCATTTATGGAAAAATATGTAATTTTGTTCAAACTCCATCCTGCTAATGTACAGTGTGACTCTGAACATTTTTATAAATTTACAAATATGACATCACAAAACTAAAAAATTTCAAAGACAATATGCAAGTATATACTCCATACAAATAATAAATGAATACTCCCTCCGTCCCAAAATGATTGGTACATTTTGACTAAAGTGGTATGATAAGAATGGATATTTTGGTGTTGACTTTCTAAAAATACCCTTGATGTGATGGATAAAAGTAGGATGTGATTGGTACATTATTAGGAAAAAGGTATGATGTGATACGTAGAGTATGAAAAAGTAAGGGGTAAAAGTGGTTTATTTTAATATAAATGTAAAGGACTTTAATGGATGCAAATTTTTCGAAACGTAATTGACTTTTTGGATTGGACGGAGTATATAAGATAAAAAAACTTGTTACATAGTCCCTCCGTCCCAATTTAAATCGCCTGTTTTGACTTTTGAACATATTTAAGGAAAATAAAAAATATAGTTGATTTTCCGAAATTGCCATTAGTTTTTAGGAGGGGTGACTCGATCCTTGTGCTCTTCCAAACTGAAGAGCTACAACTTTGGCCTTTGATCAGTTTTTAATGCTTTGCATTTAACATTGGCCACGGGGACCATTTCAATCAATAATACCTCTCTTACAGGATGTGGACAAGACCTACAAGAGACTAGATCCATATATTGTCACACAACCAAGGTTATGTTATTTTAGTTGGAAAAATTAACTTCCAACATTTTCTAACTTCTCCTAGTTTCAGTTTTTTCCCAACATCTTCTAGTTTTTTCCAACGACTTAAAAAGGTATTTATATATAATAAAAATACAATACTACTCCGTATTATATATCCAAATTTATGACATTCAACTCCAAACATGGACTACAATGGGTTCTTTTTTATTCAAAATTAGAGTTTCTTACATATTTATTTGAATGATTATTTAATTGAGTAACTTTTTAACACTTCAATTATAACTCTTTCCAGTTTATTCCAATATCCAAGTGTTGGCATATATTTTGATTGGCGATTCTTTGAGATTTTAAAGAGGGTTTTTGCACCATTAGCTCTTGTGTTGTGCTCAGAAGCACAATTGGTTAACAAAATACAAGCACCAACGGCGTTTGATATTTTGATTATTTGGTCTACCTTAAACCCCTATGACCATACCCAAAGAACACAAGTAAAAAGTGACTCTTCTCCACTAAATTTGATAGTTTCTTTACTTTGCCATTTCCAAAAAAACATAACAACAGTGTATTGTTGTGACTTGTGAAGCTCAGATCACAAAACACCAAACACTTCCAATACAGCCATTTATTGTGCGTGCCCGTTTGGGAAAAGCTTCCGCAACTAGTTTTAGCGTTTTGAAAAAGGCTATCTCATGGCGGCGTTTAGCTTTAGCATTTCCAAAGTTAATCGGCACCATTTCAAAATTTCCCAAAACATTGTTCCCAAACAAGACCATCATGTCAATGAGATTCACAAAGGGGCAAAGTTGATCACAAAAAAGATTTTACCTGTAGAAACAGCAACGAGTACAGCAAAGCGACCTCATCATCTTACTCGACGTCGAACCCTTTATCCTGGAGTTCAGAGATGACTTCATTCCTCATCCTCACCCACAGCTTGAGAGCCTCCTTCTCCATCTTCTGGTCCTGCAATGCTTTCTCATAGTTATAAGAATCGTTATCCGACTCAATCAGCCCCTTGGGCCCAATGGTTGTACCGATCATCCCCCCATTCGCAATGAACTCTTCCATGGCCTCATCATCCCCTGGATACGGAAACCTTCGCCGCTCATAGAGGTGGGCCAGCTCCCTTTCTTCCTTGGGCTTAGGTTTCAGGGTCCACCACCCCAGCGGCGATGTCTCGTTATAAACCCATGCCAGGGCGGCAATTGTGTAGGTGCACAGCAATGCCTTGCTCAATTGCTGCCAGAAGTAGCGGTCCTCCTTCCCTAGCCCGATTTTCTCCAATACTTTCTCCTTGCGGAATGATTTCAATGCCACAAACCCTACAAAAAGAAAAACAAAGAAACCCAGTAGAATACCACAGAACTAGGGTCTGGGAAGAGTAAAGAAAGCCCTACAAAGAAAAAATCATATGGATCAGTTCCTCTTAATAATTACAGTTGAGTGTTTCCTAGTGTGCATCCATATTGGACCTGACATCCAAGCTTTGATACAATTCTGAGACTTTAGGCTAAAAAAACACCAAAGATTGTGAAGAAATGTGCTTACCCGTTTTAGCATCTTGAAACCGCTTTCGAACCATTGCTTCTTGGAATCAGCACTAGAGGTTTAGGTATTCCTTAAAAGGAAGTCTAAGAACAGAACGAAGATACATAAGTTTGGTCAGCCTTAGAATAAATATCAGCCTTCAAAAAAATACTTAGTAGTATGACTTGCGATAATACAAACTTTAAAGTTTGTGTTTGATTTCAAAAACTATCTCCAAACTAATTCCCTAACTTTATAAGTTTGCTTCTTGCCTTCTTTATTACACGACGAACCAGGGGGCGCCAGAATATTATGTTGGGGACTACGGGATGAACCCATATGAGGTTAAAGACTACAGCAGAAGACTACATCGACTGTTACGCAATGGATCAAACATTTAATTTATTTCTAAAAGAAAGCCCAAACATTCGATTTCAATCTATCATACCAAATGACCCTCAGTTCATTTGGACCAAAACTCTTGATTCCAACCTGATAGATACGTGAATTGTAACCAAATGACCCTCAGGTCTAATGCTTGAATGTCCGGTTTGCTTTGTGATATATTACTGTTAATGGGGCATCGTGTTCTGCATATAAAATTCAAGGGTTTAAAAGATTTAAAAACCAACAATTGGTGGTTTTTCATACTTATAAGATCCATTTCGGGGGCCTAAGTGAACAATTGCTGCCTAATACAACAAAATCTAGTCAATTTTATAGTATACCCTTACCACAATTTGGGGATGAAGGGATTGAAGTGGTTTTGTTCAGAATAATGGATTTAGCTCCAGATTTGGTACTCAGGTTATATTCTCTTAATTTTAAATTGTTTCACTTAACAATTTCATTCCCCAATTCATATTAATATAATTTCACATAACAATATTTAGGGCAAAAGTAATCTACAACCTGGGAAAATAAACTTCGATTATAAGCTCATTAAGAACATGAAGATACGCAGAAAAGAATATTTACATTACCTGGAGGGGGTGGATGCTGCGGCGCCGCTGCCTGCCTGATGCTAGACTGGAGGGCGGCGCTGAGGGATGAGGCCTGTGGAGGAGACGCTGTCTGCGGAGGAATCTGTCTGACTCGCTCGCCGGAGACCTGGGGTCGCTACGGGAAAGGGGAATCGTGGAAACCGGAAGTCGGGAATCCAAACGAGGGGAATGAGAGCAAGAAATTGGGCTTTAACGGGCCGGATCGGAAATATTAAACCTTTTTTGGACTGGGACATCCTTTCTTTTAATCAGCCCAACCTTTTCTGAAGTTTTAGGAGTTCACTTTCAATTTATGAATTTTGATTCTAAAATTTGAAATTTTAAATTTAAATGACAATGAGAGTTGTATAGATTTCAAATCGTGTTTTGTTATGAATGAGAAAATTTTGACTCAATTCCAAATCCAAATTTGTTAAGTTTTTCAAACAAATAATTTGAG